ATCAAATAAGCACATTTGGAAACTGAGCCAGAAAAACCTCCTCCAGAATGCATTGGAGAATCCATGTAGCTCATGATTTGTGGAAGAGTGTCCAGTTGAACTCTGTTATAGTTCTCCCATGCAAAGAACAGTGATGTAAGCTGAATATGAAATTTAACATATTAATGAGTAAATGTGGGACACAACTTTCCAGCAGAGGAGAAAGGGACTTAGGATGCTGTGCATGCAATAGTTTATTTCTAATGTCTATAAAAATTCTTCCAAATTACACTTGTGCTWATACAGACCTGTCTAACAGACTACTGAAAGTGTGAATTCAGCTTCTGAGTGAGCTCTGAGTCCTTTGGGGACTCATGCCCAGGTACACTCCCCTTTGTTTGACCCAATGAGCTGTGCTGCTCCCTGTGCCTTGGGGTGCCTGAGCACCATGGACAGAGGCTGAGAAACCCAGGAAATGCTGATTCTTGARGGAAGAAATGGCACCACGTATAATCTTCCACATCAGAAAACTGTTAATGTTCAGATCTTTGGCCACCAATTTGCTAAAATGKATGCCCTTTTCATGGATTTTTAAAAATTCAGTTCATCTGGATTAAGGCCTGTAATCACTCAMGACAGGTCTTTTCTGCACAGCATCGATGCTTCTCAAAAGATTACCTCATAGTTACCTGCTTGCCAGAAACTTCTTATGACCTCCTTCTCTGTTTATTTTTACTGAAATACAGAGAAATTTRCCTATAATCTGCTTTCAAAATACTTCTTTGATTCTGGAGGTGGCCGAATTCTCCAGGTATTATGATTGACTAGTGGATAATAGCTCATAGAACTCACTGTAAAACAGTTTATAAAATCTCTGTGGTGTTCAGATATTGTGTCCAATTCATCCTAAAGAGGTCTTAACATTTCGTCTCAGATTGTCTGTCCAGGCTCAAAGCTTTTTTTGAGCTTTTCTTTTTGTTTCTATTATAAGGGAACAAAACACTAGAATTATTTTTCATGTCTGTTTTTGTAGGTATCTAAACTCTTTTATGTACAGAAGGGTCAAGCTGTCTTAAACAATGAAATCATGAGTGGGTCATGCCATCCACTTGTTTCTTCTGCCATAATGGTTGATATTTTCCTTTTGAACATTGAGTCACATGTATCAGTGTCTGGAGATCTGTAAAGTGTCAGAATAAAACTGTTTTGTCAAATGTGCCTTTGATGTGGGTGTCAGATGGTGCATTGGGAGGGCTCCGTTTCAGGTACTGTGAAATGCTGTGAATTCAGGAACTCTGGCTGATACAGGTGAGGGGATTAAACCTCCCCAGGCTGAAGGAGACAGTTGTGTGGAAGGAGCTGCACTGAAGCACCCTTCAAAACAGGAGGATGCYTTGAAATAAGTCAGACACAGAAGGTGCAATCTACTTGTGCAGCCCCAGCAAAGGGGGCTGTCAGGTACCAGAGATCTTGTAAGCGTGAGGTGAATGTGCATTGAGAGAACTGATACTGAGCTTCCCATTTTCTGGAGGTAAATGGCATTTTTTACAAAGGATCATTTTGTGTTAAGGGCTTTTAAGAAGCCATTGTCAACGACTCTGCCAGAATTGTAGGTTTGTGTTGGAAAATTGTTATGAAATATTAAATATTTTTTCTGTGTTGGGATGTTTTTGTCTTCAATAAAGGTTAGTKGTCCTGGAGTTAGAAATTAAAGCCTGGGATGTGAGTCATTGGTTGTCTGATTCGTTAGTTTTCCAAGAAGCATTGATAGGACACTCCTTAAATATGTGTAATTTCTACATTTTAGGGCATCCTCAGAAAATATCTTYCTTACTACATAATTCAGCTTTGTGAACAAATGGAGAAATTGTATTTTTCTGAAGCATCAGAGAGTCACAACAACTGCAGATAGCATTTTTGAGTGGGATAAGATGAATGTGTCATTTWGGGTTCCATAAACCTGGGGTCCGACCATCTTAGTATAGTCACAATTAAAAGGTTACAATTACAGAAAATTATTTGAATATACACTCTATCRGAAAAATCCAGAATATATAGCTTTTTACAGCAAATAATAACTAATACTAATGTTGATACTCCTCAAATTAATTATAGGCTTATTATTTTTCCTGCTTTTCATTTAATTTCTGGTTTGCACCTAGTGTTTCCAAAAGATGTGGTAGAACTTTCCTCAGAACAGATGTATGTATCATAAACGCATTTCCAGATGCAGAAAATCGTTAATTAGTTGACCATACTCTGGTGATTCATAGCTCTTCCTTTGGAAAATAYTTTTTCATTGCTGTCATTTTGGCACCACTCTAATAAGCAGAAATTACCAACTTAAACCAARACCTTTCTCCTGTGGTAGGAGATGCCTTGTTTCTCTTCATATCAAGCTGGTTATTTTATATTTACTTGCGTTTGACACTGATCAACAGTGAGCACCTCTTGTTTTTCAGCATGGTGTCCCAGAGAATTTTAATACACCTGGTGCTAGTCAGGGGTCATGGTTTTCACTGAAAGTGTGTCCTACAGTGTTATCTTATGATAAAGAGGATTTAAAACAAACAACATACAGTGCCTGAACTTACTGTTCAWTATTTGTTTGCATTTCTTTTCATGGAATTTATATTCTTATATGAAAACCTTAATGTCAGTGCCATGGGGGCTTCTCCATATTACTAGTGAAGATTATGTGAGATCCTTACTTTATGATCTATTTCTTTTAAGTATTACTGTTTGGAATGAATAAAATGAAATAACGTTTCCTGTCTTTTGACAGGGAAGTTCTTGAGTATTTGCAATGCATTGGAGTGAAGTATAATATGAAAATTAATGAAATAAGCTGAAATATGCTACTGATTACATCTTTAGAAGTATTTGAACCTTTAGAACATCTTATGTCCAATCAGAAAGCCTCAAGTCTTTACTAATTCTATTTTATGGTGCCTCTTTGTTTATACTTCAGTAAGTGCCATGCTTCACTAACGGGAGTAAAAACCTAACAGAGCCAGGACTCAAGTCAAAGTCTGGTAATTTTAGCTCTGTCCTGATTGCCATGACCTCACCATGAAAAAAATGACATGCTGCTTCTAGAAACTTAATACAAAAGAACGTGAAAGGTCTATGCATGAAACGGAGAAAAACAAGGGCCGAATTTAAGTTCAAATTATCTGCCTGAAAACAGATAAAAGTGATATTTATTAGCAGCAGATCATCTGGATTTATAACCATAACCACATTTACAGGCCTCTTCCCACAAACCTTCTGAAGTACATAGATGGCTCAGCATTCAGTACTGAAGCTTGTGTGTCTCTATTATACCTGTCAACACAGACAGGTCACTTCACTTYGATTATGCTGTTATAACTGAAATAAGGCTGAAGTTATACTGGTTTTTCTGATTCCTTTACTTTTTGGAGAATAAAATAAATTAGTCTTGAATAATGCTTTACTGAAAGGCAGGRATATCTGTGTGAGTAATACTGAACAAGTGAATTAATTCCAAATTTTTTGTTTCCTTTTGGTTTTGTTCATAAAATGGTTATAATGGAAGAGCTTTTCAGTGTTAAACAAGCTTTAAAAACTTCTTTCTCCTATTCTCTATTTTGCTCTCCTCCTCCATGCTCAGTTTTGTCTGGAGAGGGTCATGCAGTTCCCTCCTGWGCTGTTTTTATTCTCCTCAGGCACACCCTTCTGTGTTGCTCTTGGTCAGGATCTTCTTTTACCTCTGTTGATCACGTGAACTTGGATGTCACASTACAATTTCAAAGATCTTTCTGGTTTATGATAATGGAAATGGATTATGACAAGGGAAAAATGCAGAAGGGATTATCAACCGATGCACTAATTACAAGGCTGAARAGCAACCAAGTCCATTTCTGTTTAAAAGAAGTTTTAAATTAAAAAAAATTTAAAATATCTTGTCTCCAAGTCATAATTGATAGTGCTACTTTGCTGAGCACAACTTGGATGAAAATGATCTGTGTAGGACTCACCTCAGCAAAATCTTCACAGTGAAGTTTTTCCAAGAACAGACGAACCGCTTCACTGAGAGCTTGACACTTCTGATCTRGCATTTTCTTCCCTCCCCCCACCATGTGCTCTTTATTGCAGACTCAAATTAAAATTCAAGAGGAGATTTTGAATTAAAATATTCAGAATTGCCACTGAAAGCCCATAGACAAAGACATTATTTGGTATTTTCCATGTTATTAAAGCCCCATATRCCAACATTTCAGGTAAAGAATGCTTTCTGGAGCACTTAGGAAAGCTTGGTGAGAACAGTTAATCCCACCCATTTAGTTTTCTGTAGACAACAATGTCTCTTTTGAAAGATGAGTTCTTGTCATATTCCAAGACTTTCTAAGAAAAGGATGGATGCTGTCCTCTATAGCTAAGCAATGAAGGGAATTAGGAAGTCTGTAAAGTTAAACCCTAAACAATTCATTTTGCTCTCTGTCTCAACAGGAAAGTCAAATACTTTTTGTTTCTGAACTGACAAGCTTACATGATGAAAGAAATGTTAATATGTAAAGGCTTAAAACCCCAGGCACCTAAAGAAGATGAACTCTGGAACATTTTTTGTTTAAGAAATTACAGGAAAGCAGAATGAAGGGGCTCCATCCAAACCAAAATTATAGGTTTTGATGTATTTGTAAAAAGAACCATCCCACTGCCTGGAGACCTGGCATGTTTGTGAGGGTGGGGGTATAACAATGCTGCCTCCTCCTGTGAGACCTGGCTATTAAAAGAAGTTTGGAACCACCCCTGGAGACAGCTTGAAAACATGATAGGATATGGGGATTTTCATGATGGAATGAAAAACCTTCCACATGTTTTTTTGATCCTCATTGTACAGTAGTTCACTTACACTCTAGGTTTTTATAAATGAAGGTGAGTTTTTTCCTTGCTCTTAATAAAATTGCAGCCATTTCCTCATAAAAATAATAAACAATAAAGCAAACAGAAAAGTTTTATCATCATACAGTGAAGTAAATCTATTTAACTTTCTCTAGGGCTGGCCTTTGCTGTTCTGTCTTCAGTCCATCCAGTTTTTGGTTTATATGGATCTTTCTTTCCTGTCATTGTTTATGCYATATTTGGAATGGGGCGTCATGTTGCAACAGGTAAGTGTATGCTAAAATAATTTTCGAAAATAAGAAACTGGATACTGAAATTTATTTTGTTTAGRGATGAATGGAAGGGAAATTATCTATGATTAAACAGAAATATAGATGTTTTCACGCTCCTCTGCACAGCTATTTTTTGTCAGTTTAAGTATTTTAAAGAGCCTCATTAAGAATATATTGGAGTTACTCCTGCCATTATAATTTAATATTGCACTGACACTTCCTTTGTAAATGTAATTTACTAAGGGCTTTTTTACTTTAACTGATTTAGAAATCTGCTTCAGGCTAAGAGTTTAACAAAGGGCTCTGCCAACAAGATGTATGGAAATGGAAATGTAAAATGTTTGACTGCCTCTTAAACCACAGAAAACAAGCATTACTTCTCACTTGTCTAAAACACGAATCCTGCATTTCTCAGGGAAAAAAAAAAAAAAAAAAAAGAAAAAGAACCAAACTAACTTTCTGAGCCCATTGTTTGCTATTGTATTGGAGCTAGAGACTCCTCCAAAGAGGACTCTTGTTCTCTTGCAGAGTAGTTGGGTTGGTAGTGAAAGGTGCTGCCTGGTTACTCTGCTGATAGTTATGAGTTACTTATTCACCCTCAGCAGAGCCCCAGCAGCTCAAGAATTGATTGGCTTTGTTCTCCCAACAGGTTGATTAATGCTGTTTCTTAGCCCAAAGAAATCAAAGCATAGAGGGAAGCTGGAAATAATACTCATTAGATTAAACTACAGATTGTTTGCCATGCAGAAGYGGGCACTTGATGGCCCCTGAATTTTTCAGGAAGGATGAGAGAGGCTCAGTAGCAGCACCCAGCATGTCTGGGTAAAGGGATGCAGCCCCTGAGGCTGCCCGAAGATTTAAGCAGGGAGTAGGTGTGTCTGCCTTGAAGAGGATAATGAACTCTGCAGAGTCTGATTGCACAAGGGTATGCAATGTTTTAGTAAGAAGTTAGCAAAACACTTTTTTTTGGTCAAAAATATTCAGTTAAATTATTTAAAAAAATTCGGAACAGCTATAAATTGTTTCAGAGCAAAAGGAAAGCACAAAGTTTGTTTTCCCTAGATGAGCAGAAAGCATTTGAGCTTCTTGGTGTCCAAAAAGGATCTGTGGATGTTTTAGTGTCCTAATGTCGTAATGAGTAAGGCACTGTACTGAACTCATGTTAAAAGGGAAGCAATAAATAAAATAARTGAAAAATTAGAATCTGGAAAAGAAATTTTACTCTTGAATACAGATAGATTACTACACTCATTAAAACTTCAGCCTATAATAAAAAGCTGTTTAAAAACTGAAAAATGWAGCAGTATATTGTCAGAAGTTTGTTGTTGTAACATTATTCGGAAGACAAGAATCCATCATATGTAGGAAAGAAGATAAGTAAGCACCTGACTGACAAAAATCCAAAAGTAATGAAAACAAGATAAAGTAGGTAAGTACAAGCTGTTAAATGTGATGTTTTATCCTTGGGAGGGAATACTTTCAGAGCATGACTTGCTGAGTTCCAGAGTTTCATGTCTGCAGATTTTTGCACAGTTCTTGGTGTGAAAGCCTATTCCATTCATAGGTGTCTATTTCAATATTCAATCTCAATCAAAATAAAAATCAACAAAACAGTTTTCTTGCATTCATGGAATGATTTGAATTAAAGAATGTGTGTGACATATCTTGTTGATCCTTTCAGTAGAAAGGTCTCATGCACTTGTTCCACCAGCCTCAGTGAAGGCATCGTGGTGTGAAGCTGAGTGTAGGAGCTGTGCTTTGTATGTTGGAGACAATCTSTTCACCTGCCAGGGTTTTCTGTAAGGTCTGTGATGCTCTCCACAGGCTGCAAAAGTGTCCTTCRTTAGTGAAGTCAGTCATGTTTACACGAAATGGAAAATCTGTCMATGTTCTGTCAACTTTTGTTCACTTGAAATGCCTCTTCTTTGAAATAGCTGATCTAGTTAAAAAAAATTCTCACCTGTGGAACACCAATACCTTTCWCTTGACTTTTAAAAATATAATTGATTTTGAACCATCCTCTGAGGCAGCCTTGTCTGCTATAGTAACACATACAAGTCTTTGATTTAAAATAGAAGTCTATGTAAGCTGTATTCTAATTTAATTTTATGTAAACTGGGTTGKTTTTTTTTTTTTAAAGTAAAAATAAGAGAACAGACAAAAGAAAGAAAAAGCAAGATGAAAAGCAAAACACTTACAACTATCCTGAGTGTTGCTTGAAGAAAATGGATTTTAGGCCTAGATAAAAAAAAAAAAAGGGAATGTGATTAAAAAAAAAAATACAAGCCAAACTTCATGAACTTCATGGTTCAAAGGCAAAAGCACATGGAGAAGGGATATACTTTGAATATAAGATAACAGAATGGACAAACAGCCACTGATAAGGTTTCACACCAAWGGTTACTAAAGAAACTAATTTGTCCTTGTGATAGCAGAAAAGTCCTTTTATTAATTATTAGCAGGCTGAAGGATATGAAGCAAGGGGCTGGACCTCATGGTCATTTTTCAGGGTGGTGGTATCCCTGGTGAGTTCCCAAGGAATTCATGCTSTGAGCTTCACTCCATGAAGGCCAAGGTGAGGGTAGGACTGTGCTCACCAGGCCCTGCAGAACAGAAAAAGGGCAAGTTCGAAGGGAAATAATTCTAAAATACTTTTAACATATAGATTACGGAAAACAGTACAGCAGATGGTGAACTTCTGGAACCTGCTCTCAGAGAACATTGTGGAGGGAGAAATTCCAAGCATTATCAGACAAACCTTTGACAAATTCATTAACGTTAATCTGCCAACAAAACCAAAAAATTCCGGCTGAGGAAGCACTTCTCTAACACAGCTATGGATGCTGGCAGTGAGGGCAATRGTCCAGAGGAAATGGCCAGGCTTGAGTGCTTTCCCAGGGTGACACCTCTGACTGTCCCTGCTGGGGGCTGAGTACTGGGCTGGATGGGCACAGAGAGACATTTCTTATGCTCTAAGAGCTCTGCATGTTTGTGTTTTTTAATGTTGATTTGTCAACCTCATTCATCTTTGTGTCATTAAAYGTGCACCTCTCTCAGAAATAAATGTTTCTCTCATTATTTGCCTCCATTTATCAGAGTGCTGGGTACTATGTAATGGGCTAGGTACTACATAGATAGTGTGAATTAATTGCCCTACACATTTGAACGGTGAGCACTTGGGATTCTCAGAWAAATAGCTGCTTGATCATATCCAGGGTGAGTTAAAAGCATTTCTGATAACTTGAAATCATTGTAAATTGTTRTATTTGAATATCTTTTGTAAACCTGTCTAAATGAATGTGCTCAAAAAAAAAAAAATACGTTTAATTTGCCTGCATAAATGGTGTTTTACAGGAAGAAATRTGTGTTACATAGAAAAATTACCTTAAAAATTGTTCTTATGATGACAGGAATGCACAAAATGCACTTCTAGTCATAATGGCTGTTTTGAAAAAGAGACCATGAGTGATGAGTACAGACAGATATATAATTATTCGTGATTAATGTGTGGCTTTTTTTGTAGGAACTTTTGCTTTAACTTCCTTAATATCTGCCAATGCAGTTGAGCGTCTTGTTCCTTCAGTCAGAACCAATTTCACAGCAAACAATAATTCCACAATTTTGGGTTTGTCGGAATTTGAAATGCAGAGGATTGGAGTTGCCGCAGCAGTTTCCTTTCTAGGAGGAATCATTCAGGTTGGTGGYGATCCCATTTTCTCTATGCTGCTGATGTACTGCCTTTGTGACAGCTATGACATTTGCAACATTTTTTCTTTTACTTCTCTGRGAAAAACTAATGAAAACATCTGGTTCAGTGGTCATAGATGATGAAATTTATGTRATTTAAGAATTTGCTACTCCTTTGTTGAGATGTAGTAATTATCTATATATATGCTCCTAGTGTGTTACAATATGAAGGAAAACCACATTCAATCAGCTCTAAAGTAATACCCACTYGCACTTGGTGTCCCCTTTCCTTCCCCTTCAGAAACAAACATGAATCAGCTCCTGGTAAGCACTGATGTATTGCTCTTGGCTTCAACAGAAATACTGTACAATATCCAATAATTAAAAACAGTAGGGAAAACTTCTTTAAATTCTCTTTAGAATTCACACACCCATCATTAAAGTGAAATAGTAAAACAGATGTCTTCAAATGATTCTCTAAAGCTCATTCAAATGGTCAGAGGTCTTTTAAATGTCTTCTTTTTTTTTATTCTGGCTGCAAGGGCCAAGTTCCTTTATCCATTGCCAGTTGCTTAGGTCTTCAAAGAAGGCTTCCCTCTTTCCTTGTATTAAAATAGAAGAAATGTTCCAGCATGCGACATTGCAACAGGTCCTGGGTACCTGGGCTTCAGAAAGAACCCCAGACCTCTCCTCTCAGTGCTTCGGATCTCTCTACTGTGCAGAGGATGAGCAAAGAAGCCCAGAACGGGCTCCTCAGTATCCTGAGTGCTTGGCAAGAACTGGAGCATGTACTTATGTTAGTTAGTAGGAAGTATCAAGAAGCATTGCCATTTCTGTTGCATTTTTATAATTCTTYTATTGATTTATGATGAGGATTCTTTTATTGGATTATGACTAGGGGTAGGAGCATGAAGGAGAGCCTACAGACTGCACAGAAACCTGAGCTGATGTGGTTGTGCCTGGCTGTGCCAGCACATGCTGTCCATTGCACCAACATGTGTTTGCAACAGCAGAGCATGAATGGAGCTCCTCATGCAGGAGTCCTGTGCTCACAGCTTGGAAATCTCCTACAACATCCCCAGAGAGGCCAAAATGCCTCACATGGGAAGTTGGTGCCTACATTAATTTGGTTAACTTCAAAATCTAATTATTTTTCTTGGTGGCTGCCAAATCCCATTGTGTGTGTAGGTCCCCAACACCTCTTACTCTTTCATCCTGCGAAGTTTTGCTTTTTCATGTGCCTTCAACTCCATCAGATGATCAGTCTCAGCCTATGTCCTGTTTAATCCTGRTTGGGATGAGAAGAGCTGCTAAATCCTCTCTGCACCTTGAGAGCAGGTCTGGTGGGAACTGTGCCATGTGCTCCTGTCCCAGGTCAGTAATGTCACTTGCATTAGGATCAGGCAAACACAGCTGCTGCTTGTCGTGCTGACACCTGTCCTTTATGAGAGTTTACTGGTTGGAGACCGGAGTAAAATACTTAYTGCCTAAAAAAGTGCCTTGAAGCTTTAATACTGTGACACACAGTCCAGATCAAGGCTAAGATGAAACTTTGCCATCTTCCCAGGTGCTGTTAAGAGTGGGAATCTAAGTTTCTCATCATGATTGCAGTCTCCCAACTAACAGTTGCTGCAAATCTCAGATAAGGTGACAGGGCACATCGTGCTCTTAAAGGAGAGCTAAGTCAGTCACCTGCCTCTATTTATCAGATTAGAAATAAACTAATAGCCTGGAGTTAATATATATTCTGGGATAAGAATTGTGTGATGAATGGTGAGGCAACAGCTTTTCACTGAAGACATCTGAAATACAAAAAAAACCGTTGTGTTTTCAGTGTAGTTGGCATTTGGGATGTACTGCTCTGGAAAAGGAGCAGGCCTGGGTTATGTTATCTGCTATAAGACTTCTACTTTTCTGAAAATCAGTCAAAATCAGTTCTCTAATCAGCCCCTAACTACACAAAAACAATAGATGCTGTGACTAATCCATACCTTGGGTATGCTCCACATGAAGGATGAAAAGTCCTTGCCAAAATAACTGATTCCCTCTTGGGAAGAGTAGGGAAAAAGCTGAACACCCTTGGCCTAAAAAGCAACTTGATACTATTTTTCCAGTAGCTTGGCTAAGTACTCTAATCAGCAAAAGTTAAAAAAAAAAAAAGGAAAACATAAAATATAGTGGGTAATGGAGGGAAAGCAGAAGGGGAAATTTTGGTTTTGAGATGAACTGCAATTGGCTAGTTTGTGTTTAGTGGCAGCCACAACTGTGTGTTTCTGTGTGAGGTAAACTCTGAGCAGGCTYTGTGTGAATCTCAGTGCCATCCAGACATGAAATAAATTAGAACTGTCTTCTGATCATAAGACAAGAATGAGTAGAACTTGAAAGAATTGAAATTTGGGGCTTAGCTGCTTAATTTCTCCTCAAATAATAAGTTTCAGAGTCCTAAACTRCTTCTTAAATCTAATGCTTGAGGAAGTCATCATAAAAGATATTTACTTGAGAGGATTTCTGATGAAGGTAAAATAGYATTAAAATAGCAAATAAGTTAGCATAAAATAAAACCTGTAATTACCCAAACCATTTAATACAATGCATTCGTTATTTCATTTTTAAAAGCAGAATGGAAGGCATAATGAAGATTTTTTTTAGTGTTTGTGTAGCTGCTACTCTATAAAAATAAACAGAGCATGGAAAACAAATCAAGTTAATAGAATTATTCCCTGATATTAAATAYCTCAGAGGTATTGATGGGGAGAGAAAATGGCAGAACATAACAGATATCTGTGGAATTTTTTTGTAAGTAAAATTAGATGGTGACTTTAGAACATTAAAAAATCCTCAAAAGAGCTTTCAGGTAAGATTTTTTTTTCCCTATTAATGTATTATATGTGCAAGAATGTTTGCATAAATATATGTGTCTATAAAAAACTTCAGGATACTAAAYTGAAATTCAAGATTAAGACTTGCTGAATAAATAGAKGGAAGCTCCTTGTAGATAAAACTGAGATCAAAAATACCCTAGGAAAAAGCTTTCTTCTCTTAAGACCCTAGTATTATGGACTTCAGTTGTTCTACACTTCTGTAAATGAGAAATAGCYGCTTTTTGCATTCCAGTCTTGTAACATTTTTATTGGTAAGTTTTTCATCTACTGTATTTTAAAAACTAACATGTAATTAGTTGCTGATATGCCCTGTTGGAAATAAAAATGTTTCTGGTTTTCAGGAGAACAAATTTACACAGTCTATTATCAATTTGCTTAATAACGAAGGAGCACATTTGAATAAGTAGGATGTTTTTGTGAGGCAGTATTCTTGTCCAAATCTCTATTTTCCTGTGGGAAAAATGATGCTGCACCATTCTGTGTTACATATAGAACTGCATGAAGTAAAAAAAAAAAAATCCATGAGTCTATTATACAGTGATAATCAGGAAAATAGTTAATTTTTTCTTTTACAGTGGAAATACCTTCTTGCAGGCTCATATTCTGCTTTTTGAAAACCACAAGTAGACTAGGTGGGAGTTCTGGTTCCCACAATTATGGTAGAGTATGCTGTGTGTTAGCACAGAAAGACCACAGAAAAAAGATGTTTTAGGTGCTGGGATGAGGAGGGTTCTCTCTGCACTCCATCAGAAGCTTCCAGACACTCTCAAGGCACCCAGAAAGAGCACAAGATCTGCCACTCAGGAGATCAAAAGCTGGTGATCTTCCAGTTAGATGTCAATTGAAATGGGCCAGGGAGGCTTTTAAATTGGCAACACAGTCAAGCTGAAGTGTCTGTGCTGGACTGTTGTCTCAAGAGGGTCTGTAGATGTCCACTTTTGCAAGCTTTGATTTTGAGATAACCAATAAAGTGTTCTAAAGGAGAGGCTTGCAGCCTGTGCTGTTTCCCTCCAAGAGATATTCCCCATGTCTGCCCTCCTCCACCCAGCCCTTCCAGCAAATATCAGAAAGGGCATCACCCCTTTTGTTCAATGTTCAACACCATTCCAGTACAGAGGAGTTTTGAGGGGTTTAAAATTCATTCTCCAAAACTGTGCAGCAGGTAACATGGTGCCAGGCTTTCAGTTACTGTGGACAGAGAGTTTGACATTAGTGATTTCCAAAGAGCTGTGAAGTGATAAAAATTTTTACTGGCCATGGGGTTAAATTGACTACATGTTGAATGAATTTTAATAATAATAATAAACTGAGCGTGTTGTCATGGGAAGAAAGTATTGAAAGTGGACAAGAACCAAAGGTTCTGAATTAATGAGCATAGAGGGCTTAGCTTTTTGCAATTGCTCATTTTTCTTCTCCTGGCTAAATTCCCATTCTTTTCTTGTCAGAGTAAAATTCTGGAGCAGTAAAGACAACTGCAAGAAAAGGTTCCCTTTGTATTATCTTTCTTCCAATTTRAAATTTACTTTCTTTTCTATAACTTTTTATTTTTTTTTTTTTAGAAATTATACCTTCCACTGGTTCTGTGTAATCACTTGGTTGCATACCTTGTTTCYGTGATATTTTTCTTTTACTAGGCATTAAATCAAAGTTGCTTTTCCTCACTTTCCCTTATTTTTTTGTTTCTTTTCTCTGAAAATTCTTGATTTTATTTACATGAATTTAATCAAGAATGTATACCTAGTTAAAGCAAAATTCATCTCAAGAAAACTACTTTTTAATGAGCCTTTTAAAATGGTGTGATGTACTGAAAATGCCACACAAACAAACAGTAGCCATGTACATGTCAATCCATTTTTATTTACTGTGTGTGCTCTTTCCCTGAAATATGCTTCTATTCCTTAGGAACTTACTTTTTAAAAATTAAAAATTCTGGATATGATTATAAAATATGTGAAAATTTTGTTTCTTTTACAGTTTAAGAAAATCCCAGTATTACAACAAATAATGAAAAAAGAAACCTATTTGTCTTTTTTTTTTTCTGTTTTAGCCTTCACTGTCACTTTTCTCTGTAGTTTGTCTGCATCTGAAAGAAAGAGAAATCATACAATATACCAGAAAATAAAGTGTAAAACCTGCAAGAATGAGCATCACAAACATAGCCAAGATAAAGTAGATTGTTGGACATKTCTTTAAGAATATTGAACTTTCTACATTTTGGTCAGTGTTACTGGGTGAAAGATTTTATGACATAATGCAATGTAATGGAATTGTGTGCTGTCAGCTTAGCTCAGTTTCAAATGGTGTTTATTCAAAATGCAGTGGCAGCCAAGCTCACATGGCTCCTGCCCAGCATGGAGGGTTAACTGTAGAATCAACCTGGGCCTGTAAATGCTCACATTTTTAGGAATATCTGTCAAGGAAACTCACATGTAACTAGATTTGGAAGGCTTGTTTCAAAACTTTTTGCCTCCTTTTGATCTAAGCAGTTTCTGTCCRTTACTCATGTTGCAAGGACAAGAGGTTCCCATACCAGCTTATGAGGAAAATTACACCCTTCACCCAGGATGTTTTCTGTTCTGGTTGTTTCTTTGTTAGATCTTTTCCATGGAGGATATATGAGTGCACATCATATTTATTTAACTATTGTGTAAATAAAGAGTAGGATGTGCATGCTGATGAAAAGCTGGAACAAAGTCCTGAGTTATCTTCTTCAGTAAGAAAGAGGGGACCGAGTGTAGGCTGTTGTTGTTTAACCACAGAAATTGTCTAACTGGAGCCATACTTATGGTTTGCATGCATTTTACATAGCCTACAGTTACAAACAGTCAATAAAAAYCATGAAATGTGATCTTTTACTTAGTACCTGTGAAACATCCCCTTAAAACACTGAAGATTWAAAAAAAAAACCGAGAAAGTAAATCTGAGAGTGATGCTGAATTTTCTAAGTTCAGCAATCATTTTTCTGTAACTCACAATAATAACTTTCTCTGAAGTGCTAATATTAACTAACACTTCTCCGTGATATTATGCAGTATGCAGAATTGTCTCTGTGGTTTTGATTCCACAGCTAAATAAACATCCAATTTTCTAAGCAACTAAGCTATTACACAGTTAGAAATTTCACATTCATGCAATAGAAACTGATYGTAGAAAACAAACAAAAATTCACTAGGGAAGGGAGAATTTAATTCTTATTGAACTTTGCTACTGTGRACAATGTTTTAAATATATTAGTAGGCACACTGCTAGAAAAAACAGCTAAACAAAATATCTGAAATTAGTAATTATCAATTTTAGGCCTGACTAAATAAATTACTACTCACTGAGGGTATACAGTAATTATCATTATTGGAGTCCAATCTTGAACGACTATAAATGYTCCAATTGCTCATACTACAGAGCAATTTACATGCTATTAGTGGGAAATAGAAGAAAAATSTCAGATTTATTCCCTCAAATGGAAGAGGAAATTGCTCACTAGAGGTTTTTGTGGTAAATTAAAAGCCACTTATTTTGGTATTTTTGTTTCTTTTGTGGTTCTACACTCAATGCTCGCTGCATACAGGTGAGAAAATGAATGGTGCTCAGGCATGAAGAAYGATAACATCTGAAAATGATACTTTTAGCTCACAATAAAGCAAAAAAAAAGCAAAGGAGACTGTGATATATTCCAAAATGATGCTGTTTGGTATGGTAAACACAGAATGAACCTGTTCAAAAATATTGTAACAATATTTTGTTGTTCAAAAATATTGAAACAATAACTTTGTGCCAAGACCAGAGAGAAGAACCGCAAATGTGAAAGACTGTACAAGTAAGAAACTGCAAAACTCATTGTAGGGGGAGATAATGTCAATATAGCTTAATGGGGATAAGAAATGAATAAATGTTATGTAAACCACAGTAGCAGCTGGAGTCATGTAAAAACTTTGTTCAAAGAATTAAGAGTTGTCAAATCTCATACTTTGGAGRGAAAGAAYGTTTGAAGTCCAGGATAAAGGGRCAATAAAACTCTGTCCTGTATTCCWAAGTATCTGCAACAGTTGTAGATTCTGCTGTCATTTAAATTCCTGGATTAGAGGTCTCACCACAAGACTCTCCACAGCACCTCATAAATGTGGTATCTATTGAAATTGCCAGTGTTGGGAATCCTGATAAAGACATGATGGCAATCAGTGTGCTGGACCAAGATATGGCCCTTGGCCCATTTAGGATCGATAGCAGTGGAGCAGGAATAAGTTTTAGCTCAGAACCAGTGTCACTTTTTGAGTAGCTGTTCTTCATGTTGCAGTGCTGAGTTGAAGCTTTTATGGTGTTTATTGTGCTCCTGTATTTGAGCAGGACAGAATACTAGGAGTTTCTTTGGATCTTCTTTTGTCATTAAAGGGGGCTTAGGGTCTGGTAGACTAGTGAGTAAAATAGTGCAGGTAAACCCACTGATCTTCAAGAGGTTCCATTTTCAGCTATATTTGTCCTTCAAAGAAGGAATTTTACTTTGTATCTTTAGCCCAGTTATTTATAATTTATTAAAAGGACTCYGGCTCATTGTCCTATCACCAAGGAGCTGCATTTTATTATAATTGCTGATCCTCCTGCCTTTGCCTTTCAGGTAGCAATGTTTATGCTGCAGTTGGGCAGTGCCACTTTCTTGTTAACAGAACCCGTGATAAGCGCGATGACAACAGGAGCAGCGACACACGTTGTGACTTCACAAGTGAAGTATCTGCTGGGAATGAAAATGCCATATATWTCAGGACCACTGGCATTTTTTCATGTGAGTTCAGTGAAAGAGATGGGTTACTTCATTAGCTAACATTTTATTTAATAACTACGCTATTTGTCTCTGTGTAAAACTAAGGAATTTGTTATGCACATGTGGGAATGAGCGCAAGATGAACCATCATCTTGCTTTGTGTGTAARAACAGATTTAGAAAACTTGATAGAGAACTCTCAGGAATGGGTACAGTAATTAATTTAAAATAAGTTGTGTTAGGGCAYCAATAATTCCATGTATTATTCTGATCCATTGTACATTCATACAGGGAGGGTAAACTCTTTCTGGATCAGAATGTGAAAGGAATGTAAATATAAATCTAAACATATTTTCTTMATATGCTGTTGAAATCTGACCATGATTGTGGTAAAAGGAAAATGACCTATGATTTCTGGATCTCCTATGCAAAAATTACTCTAGATATATTATTTATCACTTTATGACATGATATAAGTGCAAATAAGTGGTTAGGCTGCTTAAAGAATCACCATCAGAGATACTGGCAAAAAGCAGGTATGAACTTAATACAAACTATGAAAGTGTGGCTCTGACAGAGTTCAGTGGCAAGGTTCACTCTATTAATTACTCCAAGGATGAAGCATACACRGGAATATTACATTAATATCAATATAGAATGGATTACATGGAGACTGAGGATGAAAAAGGATTAAGTTGCAAAATGTATGGACACAAAAAGATAAGGTGTGCAGAAGGGTTTAACAGCACTACATCACTGAGGATAACTCCAGCTACTGGAGTTTCCAAAACATTTGGAAATTGTTTCCAAAACTCCAGCAACAATGGTGCCGTTCTACTTGGGCTCCAGTTCAGGTAGAGGTTGTTCCAAGGTTGTCAGGGGATGACTGATTCCCTTGTTTCCCCTCGGCCAGGCAGTGGATGTTGCTGTTGCAGGGTTGTTCCCACCTGGATCATGTGTGAGCACCTGGGACACCTGGGATGGTCAAGGACACGTCACCACCCAGCTGCTGTGGTCAAGGGCAGGGGGTGAGRCACTGCCACAAGAGCCATGGTGACAGCCTTGGAAAGCACATCTTTTTGGCTGAAACCTGAAAGACCAAGGCTGTATAATCTTATTACACCAAAGACACAAACATATTCYTGATGGTAACTTATTCCAGCAAGCCCTGAGTTTAGGAGCTGTAGCATAATCTCTTGGCATCATTAATATTACAGCAGTACCTGTCAAAATTATAATAAAAYTGCATTTACTTGCTGAGGTGATATTTACATTGCACTGATAGCGAGACTTCATCCAGTCAGCCACTAAATTAGGACCCGTTTTTAAAAGCTCTTTGTGACCTACTACGTGTGTTATTTTTTCCTATTATTTTGGGAAATTTGTTCATGKGAACTCTTTGATTAGAAGATGCTGCTTTTCAGAATGGTTTTTTTTCATAGTATTTTATCAGTTTGATAGCTTTTCATRTGGAAAATTTATGGGCAAGTTTTTTACAGGAACAATTTATTAATGAAAATTAGAAGCATGTAATAATCACAAGTAATTTATCCATTTATCTTCTAGAGATATGTCTAAAAGTGTCACAGCCATTTTTATGATTAGCCAGTTGCCTTATGAGACTTTTACAAATGATTCCTCATATATTATTATTTTTTTATTATTTAGAAACTTTTCCRTAAATGATTCTTAATATAAAATGTGAATAGCCTCTTTTTCATGGCGTTTCCATGGAGACTGTGCTTACATATAGGAATATTGTCATCTTGCAGAGATGACTGGTGTTAAGTACTGCAGCCAAGGCATAATCAAAATATACATTGTGAGCAATAATAAAGAACAGCAGTGATATGAAGAAATATTTCCACGTTGGTGTGCTGATGATATCATAAATGAGGTCATTCAAATGCTTTGAAAGAAATTTATTCCCTTATCCCTTGTATTTTTAATGTATTTGAAACAAGTTCTTTGCCTTTCACTTCTCTTTTGAAATCAAACTCCTTTGAACACATTCCAAAGAAAAATTTTCCTGATTTTTTTAAGGTTCTGAATTGCTCTGTAAATTGTGTGAAAATAAATGACCCAAAAATGTACTCTGTACAACTTGATAATAAAAACGGGGTAATTTTAGTATGTAAGTATTTTAAAATGTTTCTGGTATCTGTTCAGAGTTATGAATTGCCTTAAGAAGGTCCAGTATCTCAGTCAGAAGCACCAGAGCTAGATTTTAACAATAATTTTCTTTTGTGGTTGTAGTTTTATGTAAAAATTATATCAATTAGATATAAGGTAGTTTGCATATGTATCTGCAGARTGAAAGGCAACTTTGGCATGTCTCTCTGGACATGTTCTTCACCTCAAATTCTCAAAATCCAAAGACTGGTACTTTTGCCTACATTTTTTTTCTTTGTCCATTCCAAAACACCTCCCACTCACAAAACCAATTGCTTTGCCTCAGGCAGCCTTTTGGGTTGGCAAAGCAAGAATAAGAATGTTTAATAAAGTGTGATAGGAGAGTTGCAAGTGTAGTAAGCCAGTGAAATGGATTCTTTATAGCATGTGAGATCATGGTTAAAAATGTAGAAAGGAACTTTGCATATGGAGAACAAATCTAATACACTGGCCTTGAGCCTATGGTGCTTTTTGTGTTTACACATACTTTATGTAAATTACTAAATTTTGTTTTCCCTGTACATAGTTTGTCACACTTCAGTTGAGCTGCATATGCAGCATCAGTTGGTATTTTGCAAATGGGAAAGTGAAGGTGAAGAAGAAAAATGGTGAGGGAATACTACATGAGAGATCTGACTTWACAAGGGACAAGAAAAGTGTCATCAAGTTTTTGTCCACATCTGAAAACAGAAGARCATATTTRTATTTGCCCTTTGTTTATGTATTTATTTCTCTTTCCACATATATATGTTTCTGGGAAAATACAATGCTGTAAAATGAACTGCTATGTAAGAAACTTGCTTTGCAAACCGGCGTCTTTTGTGGCTGTGTTGCAAGTTTGTTGCAAAATCCTTGTGTGGTTTTGCTGCAATTATCTGAAAAAAAACCCCAAACCTTCACATTCCTGCTATGAGTCCTTTTTTTCACCCTGTTTTGCCCCAGTTACCCATACAGTTTACMGTATTTGCCTGTACATTTTCCCTTCTGTGTGATGTATTCGTTTAACTAACATCAGAACAAAATATATTTGAAAATGAAATGAGGCTGTCCACTCTTAAATGTATTGTGTTAAATAACATGTTCCTTTAATTCTTTCATTCACTTCAGCCTCTATACTCATCTTTTGGAGTATACATTAAAAAAAAACAAACAAACTCAGAGCATTTCATTGGACCATCAGAATACATATCCTTTCTAGAATATAGACCATTACAGTGTTCCATATCACCCTATGAAGTTATGTGAAAATGTAGTGGCACTCAAAACTGTTTGTTTCCTATGAGAAAAGGAACTTTTAGTGTCTGTTTCTGTATGTGCAAAGCTGGAATACTGCTTGTTTCACTTAGGTCCAAATTTGCATCGATTAATAAAAAGTCCACTGATTGCTCATAATAATTGTCACACAGGTTCCATTAAGAATCTTTACACAAAACTAGCAATAAAACTAAAAACACAAGAGGCAAACAGCTCAATTAATATATTACTGCTGATTCAAAACCACTTTTTAWATTATTTAATGACCAAAATTGTTTTGTACACTGCAATATTAAGCTAAATTCAGCCTCAAAATTTCCTAAATATTTCAGTAAGTGCATCATCTAAATAAATGAAATGCTGAATTTGTAATTATATTTTTGGTTAAAACATTTGTAAATACTTCTTTTGATTCAGATGCCAGTGCTATTGCAAGCTTGAGCCTTATGTACTTAGGATTTATGGTTTGATCTCAGATCAGTACAGTAACTGATGGACAGAATACCGTGTAAAATATATATTTTAAGAAGTCTATTTTATATGTTAATTACGTTAATGTTAAGAGCCACATGCWCTTTCTTTCTTGTGAAAGGGTCTCCTCCTCAATTCACTGCTCATATCATGAATTGAGTGGGTTTAGATTTTTAGAAAATGGTTACCCAGGAGCCAGCTAGCCAGTGAAAACTCTTCAGTCTGATGTAGTAATTAATTTAATATTTATGTGTTACTGCCTGAATTGTTTCAGTGTACTACATACATACACTTTGGGGATAGGGTGGTTTGGGCTACTGGCTTCGTATGARCTACAAAGTGTTGGTAGTTCCATTATTTTTCATTTATTGGCTGATGTGGACTACATACAGAAGGGCATGACTTCAAAAGAAACACCAAAGTACATATCAGGCGGTTCATACAAAGACTTTGTTGTAAAGTCTGAAAAACCTATGGCAAAGTTTACAAGATTTGGCTATATATTTTTAAAATTAAATGGAAATGTCTTTTTTTAGTCAATTTGAAAGAAATTCTTAAAACTTGTGCATATTTCTTCTCTAAAATTGTATGCATTTGCTCAGTCTTTTGTCTCACTTTGTCTAGGGAAATTAGATTTAACACCATGAACACAGAGAGCTAATGCTGACAATTTAATAGACGGCATTGTCTCAAAACAAACCCACATCTCTCTGACTTCAGCAAGTAGGAATCAACCCATTTCTTCCCTTTTCTTGCCACTTCACCTTAGATTAGTTCAGTCTTTGGTGAGATTGTGGGCACAGTTTTCCAGATTATCTCCTTTTGTCTTAATTAAGCTCAGCTTCTGCTCAGGCACTGAGCCGAGTCCTGTGCTCTCTTGAAAATGCATTCTTGGAAAATTATGGGTACAGAGTCTAGTCCCAAGCCACTCAAGATACAGTCCACATACTGTCTGATTACAGTGGGGCAATATGTGGTTAAAAACTGTGGTTTAATTGCCATTCTTCAGATTTAAGACATATATAGATCATATTACTTAACAAGTWGATTTTAAAATGTTTTCCTGGTTTCTGAGAAATATTTGTGCTGGATATTCTGTGCATTCTTAATTGAAACTCCAAAGGCTAAATTTCCTCTTCATAAGAAAAGTTACTTTTCTATACCCATATTTAGGTTGGGTTTTTTTTTCTTTCTAGATTATGAAAATAGTCTCAGAGAGAAAAAAATCAGGAAGTTATTTTAATTTACTCATTCTTCAATATGAGCATCACCTCTTCAGTGAGAGACAAAATCAGAACAGTAGTAATAAATTTTATCATCATTTTGATCACCTTTCTGCTAGAACAGTGTTCTTTTCTAAGATAATTATTTTAGCACTTTTTCCTGCCCAATATAAATATATATATCTTTAAGCTCCAACTGTCAAAACTTTTTAGCATTATACATATATTCGAGAACAAATTCTCTGAGGCAGAAAATTATTAATCTTTATTTTGATAAAACTACAAGTGTCACTTTTGCTTTATTTTAGTAGTCTTCTTAGTAATTGCCAGAGAAAAT